ATGTTGCCATGTTGAGGCAAATCCAGCAGGCACTTCACTGCAGTTCAGTAATGAGGAAGGAACTTAGCTGGACTGGGGAACTGGTTACCGGAGGCAGGAGGCAGGCCCTGTGTCCATGTTGGTTCCTCAGCTCTGTCCCCTGAATGCTTATGGAAAGAGGAGGGTGGGTGTTAGCAGGCAGATTGAGGAGAATCTGGAACTCCCAAACTTGCATGCTTTAAAGGGATTCTGTTTTTCATCACATAAAGACAAAGTATACTCTTATTGTGAAAGATCTGTAATAAAAATGATTGTGCATAGAGAAGGAAGAAGAGAAAGGATATAGTTTCCTGGTGCAACACCCATCCCCTTGTGGGTAAATGCTGAGCCAAACAGGGTTGTCCCACAGCAGGGCCACTGAGGCCAAAAGCTTGCTACAAGTCTAAGTTACCTTCTAGCGGGGAACCAGGGAAAGGGGCATAAGGAGCCAAGCAAGCCTGGGGCACAAGGAGCAAAATCAAAGTACAAACAAGAAAACAGCTGCTGTTGTCATCCTCCCCGGGTGTCTCTAACCCACGTCTCTTTCACATCTCCCAAGTCCCTACTCGAAGTCCAAAGTCGAGAAGCAAGCAGGCCCTTCTTCTCCACCTGTCTGTCCAAATGTCTTCCCTCTCTGTGTCTCTTCCTGTGTGCCAAGCTTCCCCTTGCAGCTCAGCTCTCCCCCTCAGGTGAAGCAAGGAACGGAGAACCTCCCTTTTTTTTTTTTTTTTTTTAACTAAAGATACTTTTAACAGGCACAGCCTACTGAAACTAGTCCTCTTGCCATGAAGGCCTGGGGCCACCACAGTTTCTGCTGTGTGAAGTGAAGGGTAGAGTGTTTAACAGAGCTCACGTGCTTATGGGATGGAGCAAAGGGTGGAGACCTGAAAAGGCACAGGTCTCCATTCTACAGATGTGAAAGCAGAAGCCCAGAGAGGCCAAGCCATTTGCATGTGGTCTCCTTGCTAGTGAGTGGTGGGGGCAGGTTTTCACATTGGGACTGCTCTCAGTTGATGGGCCAGGATGCAAGTGGTGGCAGCAGTGCTGGGAACCAGATGTACCTCGTATGCCCAGCATCAGCCAGGGACACTGCAGAATGAGGCCCTGACCCTGCATGAGGCCATTCATAGGAGAGCTTAACCAGAAATCATGTTGGTCCCCTCACAAAGCCATTTGCCAGTAAAGCCATGTCCCAGTCTCTGTTCCCTTTACTCAGCGTGTGTGATCGCAGATGCAGCTGAAGTACTTTCTAGGAAAATTGCAAAACATGGCCAGTGAAAAGAAGCAATTTCCTGTTTTTCTGTTACCTTGACGGCTTTGCTTTCTTTAAAAATTACCCAGAATTGGCCAGCTGACACATCTTTGTTGGAAAATCTTTCAGCCTTTCTTTTAGGAGAACATTTGGGATATGGGGACCTTCTCGTTGCCTAGGGCACAGGTGCCCAGGCTTGGCCAGGGAAGTCCCCAGAGCAAATGGGAGTAGATTAATGTGAGACCCTGTCTTCCTGAGTCTGGTCTTCCTCCCAGTCAGTACTTTGAGGGAAATGTTGGGCTTTTATAGGCTCCCTGTTTAACCTCACCCCTCAGGTTTTCTCAGCCAATGCAACAGACCCAAAAGGATAAAAATGAGGCCTACCTGTGTTTATTATTTTTGGTCATGAAAGTGAAGATTTTGACCTCTTCTCCATAAGGTCCACATGCAAAAGGATATCTTAGTAGTTGAAGAAGGGGGACAGTGCAGATGCTGCTGCTTCAGTGATTGATTAGCTTAAGCTGGAATTCCTGTTTTCTCTATTGGGTGGCTGGTAAGAAAGCAGCAAACTGACCTGCAAGTGGAAAACTTCTTGGGCTCTTGCTCCATGGATTACTGAAATTTGTGTGCTGTCAGCTACTCAGAGCAGAACAGGGCTAGGCTCAGGTGATTAGAAGGGTCCATTCAGGCCTGTCTCACAAGCACATCTCTGTTCACTGTCATGTGCATGGGCACAAGAGGCCCTTTGTGGGGCAGAGATGCTGTCACTAAGGCCAGAACGTCTCTGCTGGAACCCTCCCTCACAGCTGAGACTGCTGTGTGCAGCTCAGCTGATATTCAGGGCCGGTAAAATTCTGACATCTGCAGAACTGAAAGGCGTACATCCGTTTATAAAAACCACAGCATTTAGGGGAATACCCTTTGTCTTGAATTTCCACATTGATGTGGTAAGTTATTTCCGTACGTACTGACTGTACATTATTCTAATAGTATCAGTTATGGTAGACATAAGCTTGTACATTTGCATTCGAAGTCAGTCTGTCCCTGAGGACAAGGGAGGCCTCATTTCTCCAGAAGATCCCTGTTCAGAGCTGTCCCATTCATCCTGGCCAGGCTGAATCAGTTCTTGTGGCAGTACAGCCAAGCAGCAGCTTTCCCTGCCAAGATGGGGCTCATTTTTCAGAGCATTTTTTGGGGCTTGGGTGGGATGTGAGATCTCTCTTACTCACTCATGATTTCCATTTGCTAGTAAATGAATGCTGCCACATGTGCTGTATTTGTTAACAGAGAGTTTTGTGAAGTGACCCTGAGATTCTTTATCAGGAAAGAGGAGTTAGTGATCTGGATGGGAGCGCCTCATTCAGTTGAGGAGTGTTCCCTAGGACTGTCCTTAGAATCATCCCCAAGCATGGTCTCGCTTTGTTTCCACCAGTCTGGATAGTAACATCATTGCTTCTTGGGCACAAGAAAGCCCATGCCCAAGCACCATGATGGGCACAGGTGAAGTGTAGGAAGAAACCCAACAAAAATATACTTTTGTTTTGGTATAGTTAAGAAATCAAATTATTAAGATGGATTTGAAGGCATTTCATTATCAGCTAGCTTTATTTCTAGAGAAATATTTTGGAAAACATAATTGTGACAGTACACTAAAATGAAGTTTGACTTTGTTTAGTAAAATATATGTGTTTTTTTATAACTGCAGCATAGTTTGTTCTTTGACCGTTCATTTACGGTACCATATTGTAGGTTAGAGGCAGTTTTTTTTTTGAGTGGTTATTTTTTTGGCTGACAATAAATCATAGCTTTGCTTGATGCTGTAGAATTGTTCCAAATGAACGTACTGCCTCATGTTTGGTGCGGTGTTTTTAAATTGTGTGACAAAGCAATGTCTTTACCATCACCAGCCCAGCGCCACCACAGCCTTCTGTCCAGAGTAGCTCCTTGCTGCCTCGCCTGGTTCTTCTGTGAATTACCTCCGCGACCGTTGTCTCTAACCTCCTTGCCCTGTTCTAGTCACTGTAGCTAGAACTTAGCCATCTAGAATCCGTATCTGTCAGAAATCATGCCTCACCTTTTGACTTCCTACCAAAGACCCTAAGAATCAAGTTTAAGTTGGAGATTTGGGAAGAAGCAGCATTTGGGTGAGTGAGTCCTGATGGTTAGTTTTGCTAGAATGAACCTAATGAAAGAAAAAGTAAACTAATACACAATTTTAGCATTTTCAAGCAGTTTACCCCAAACATTTCTGCAGTAAAATTTTCTGGTTTTTAAGTAAAGCTGTACATTGACTTGGAAAATGCACATATACCATCTTTTTTGTTTTTTTGTTTTTGTTTTTTTTTTGCTCCAAATAGTCAAACACTTGTAAGGAGCTCCTGGAATGATAGTTTTTATTGAAAGGATGCAATGAGGCTTCCTAACAGAAGTAACAACCCTCCAAGAAAGGAGTGTTTACACATTCAGCCTGTCAACCAGGCTGCGCCTCTGGTAAAAGAAAGGGTTTACATGGATATCAGAAATTGGATTCTTCATCAGTCTGCCTGTCCATCTATCTTGTCTATCCAACTGGTATTTACTAGCAGCTCTGCCAAGTTTTGGGAGTGGTTATAAAGGTAAGAAGACAGGCCCAAGCACCATACATTCTGGCATAACCTACCAAACAGCAGAATGGGGGTGAGGGCTTGAGGAGAGGAGGGAGAGTGCTGACCCAACCCAGCCTAAAGGGGAAGTGAACTCAGAGAACTGGGGAGTTATTAGGGTGGGCTGAGGAAACCAGCATTCACAAAGACACAGAGGAAGTACAGAACATGGAACCTTCAAAGGCATTGCTTCCTAACCTCTTTCAGATGGTGGGCCTTGATCTGAAAGCTTCAGAGAAGCTATGAACCTTGTTACTGCGGGGGGCAGAGGTGGGCACACACTTAGGCACATGTTCCCAGAGCTTGATGTCTGGTTTCTGGGGATACGTGGACTCCCTGATGCACAAAACAACCAGATATCCATGTAAACCTTTTCTTTTACCAGAGGCGCAGCCTGGTTGACAGGCTGAATGTGTAAACACTCCTTTCTTATAGGGTTGTCACTTCTGTTAGGAAGTCTCATTGCATCCTTTCGATAAAAACTGTCATTCCAGGAGCTCCTTACAAGTGTTTGACTATTTAGAGCAAAAAAAAAAAGATGGTATATGTGCATTTTCCAAGTCAATGTATAGCTTTACTTAAAAACCAGAAAATTTTACTGCAGAAATGTTTGGGATTAACTGCAGAAATGTTTGGGGTTCACTTTCCATGATGCTATGAGATACGGAGTGAAATTTTTAAATGTTGGGGGAGTTCTTGGTCTACAGATGTTCTGGCTTTTGATTGAGTGATGGCTTTTCATCCTGCCTTTCAATAACTGGTCTGTCTTTAAAAACATTAGTTCCTCTCTTTGAGGCAGTGCAACTTTGCAGTGACTAAAGGTCCTGGTCCTCATGAAATCTGACCACTGGGGTTACACCTGGAGGTATCCTTTATTTTGGTGATGTGTGGCTTATTTAATCGTAAAACCACATTTGATGTTGCTTGATTTTAATCTTGAAATATTTATAGACCTTTCCTATACAGCTCCCACTTGTTGGGCTGTTGCTAAGCCTTATGGGGTGAGATGGGATGGGATATGATTTGACCAGGTAACTACTGAGCATGAACCTGTCCTTTACATATGGTAACTTTGCCTTTTCCCACAGCCACTTCCCCAAGGGTGTCTTCTGAGCTGGAGCAGGCCCGGCCCCAGACTAGTGGTGAAGAGGAGCTGCAGCTGCAGCTGGCACTGGCCATGAGCAGAGAAGTGGCTGAGCAGGTCAGTGTTCAGGCACAACTGCCACTGCAGTGACCATTATTTGTGGAGGTGGGGCTGGTGGGATGGATCACAGGGAGAACAATGACACATACAGGCCCTGTCCTGGGTGTTTCAGATGTGCTTTCCAAAATGTGACTTCATGTTGTCTCAAGCATGTTGTCTCAAGCCCTGTCAGGGAGGTGTCCTGTGCAAAGTTATATCCAGGTGTGTTTTTCAGAGAAGTCATAACTGAGGGGTGAATCAGTCAAAAGTGTTTCCAGAAACACTTCTGCACACATGACCTTGCGCTGTGGGCTCTCTTTGCTGAATGATTTCAGTGTCCACAGCCTCCTTGACACAGGGTGTGCAGGCACATAAATGGGTCTAGACTTCTGGGAAGGCAGTGCTATGAGGTGGATCAAGGGCACCCAAACACTGAGGGTAAAACAAAGGGAAAAAGGGCTAGAAGGAAATGCTCTAGGGAATAAGAGCACTTATATTTAGTAAAGGCCAAAGATCTATGCAAGCTGAAGAGAAATGATAGTGGAGTGCTTATATTTAGATCAAAGAGATGTGGGAGTTTTAGTTTTTTGTTTTCTTTTCAGTTCCCATTTCTTGTTAATAAGCATGCATTCTCCAAGCAAAATGGAGAAGGGGGGAAAGGAGTGATTGCCATAACCTTTCAAAGTTGCCAACCATTTGGTTGCAGTTTTCAGGTCTGTCTCCACTGGTCTTTGGTTAAAAAAGGTAGGTGAAGTCATGTGTAGCGTAATCCTCCCTCTCACTTAGAAATAGTGTAGAAAGACAAAGATTAGGGATAGTTAAACGGAAGTACTGATTTGTTTGACCCAGCATGCATGTATCACTGTAACTGGAAATATCCTAAAGCTTACCAGTAATGGACCGCTTCAGTTATGGCCCTTGATCTGCAGTAGGAAATGCATGGCCATTAAGCCTGTCCCTGTGGATACTTCATGCTGTCACTGATAGCCTAGAAAGAAGTTGCAAAAATGCAGGGACAGACTGATGGTTGGAGCCCATTTTGGCTAATAAATCATCTCTGTCAGGGGCCTCCCTGGTGGCGCAGGGGTTAAAGTCTCAGCACTGTCAAGCTATTGCCAGCCACCCTTACATGAGTTTAATCCCCAGCCAGGGAGATAACTCACATGGCACGGCAGACCTCTCCTGTCTCGCCTGCTACTCGCCTCAGCAATGTAGTTCAGTAGATTTGCCTGTTCTGCTCTCCACTCTGTCTCTGGTGAATCCTCTCACCCCCTGTACTACTGGCCCACACCCTAGTTCTTATATACATAAATAAATAAAAATCTTAAAAAAAAAGTCATCTCTGTGATTTATTACTGATAATAAATAAAACATATAATGTATATATTTATAGTTAACCATTATATTATGTAAAATCTAGGATGACGCAGTCTTTTACATATGATGACTTTGCCTTGAATAAATATAAGTTAAATATAATGAATCATTTATATTAGAAATCATGGAAGTAACTATCCAGGCATTTTTCAGAAGCATACACAGTGGGAGCTGGAATAAGAGATCTTCATCCCTTTTCTAATTCCTTTCTGGGTGTTGAATTTTTGTGTTTTATGAGGAGACATACTGCTTCTGTAGTTAAAAACAATTATAAAGCCATTTTCATTAAAAACAGTTTCAGAACATTCCCTTTTTCCAATTTGGTGGTACCTGTGCCTCCTGTGTGAGACCCCCAAAACCAGGGAGGCCATATGAGCTAGGGGTTGGGAGGCATCACATTAGAGACCAGAAGAGTAACTGTTTTACAAGTTGTTTTCAGACCCTTCTTTGAAATAATACCTAGTACAATTTTGCATTTCCTGCTTCTGGTGCCTGTTGCTTTGTTCTATGCAGTGATGTTATTACAATTAACATTAGCTTCAAGGTTCATTGTCCTCTACAGGAAGAACGTCTCAGGCGGGGTGATGACCTCAGATTGCAGATGGCTCTAGAAGAAAGCCGAAGAGACACAGTTAAGGTCCCAAAAAAGAAAGAGGTGAGTGCGTCCCTGGGAAGGTAACACTTGAGACTGTCCTATAGTTGCTACTGAAACACCCTACACCTAACCCACAGCATGAGTGTGACTTGTGCTATTTTCTCTCTTAACAAATAATCCTTGGCCTGTGATGAGCAAGAGTGAAGTGAGGATGTAACTGAAAACACATCAGACTCTGCTGATAGTAGCCTCTCTGAGACCATGTGGGAGCACATGGGCATTGGTGAGGGGCACAGTTGCCTGGTTCACCATCCCAGCACTGGGCAGTGCTTCAGTGCCTTCCCTGTAAAAGGAGCATGATAACAGAGCCTTTCTCATGGGGCTATGAGACCGTTAAATAAGTGTCAGGTGCTCTGGAACAATTCCTGGGGTAAGCCAGAAACAATTCCAGGGTAAGCCTTCACTAGTGCTGCTTCATCACTGTCACCATCATTAGTCTATGCCAGGTGCCCTGCTTGGGACCCAAAGGGGACAGGGACATGGCTCTGCTGCTTATATGCTCATTGTCCCCTCAGGAAGCAGAACCCCTCATACCACAGGTCAGGGGCTCTAACAGCCTCCCGTGTTACATTGCTGCTGGGTCCCTGATGGCAGCCATATATATAGCTGCAGCAGCAGGAGTGGCGGGGGGACAGCCCCAGGAGAGAGGGCCCTGTATGATGGCTGGCAGCTGGGGGTGGTAGGTAAAGTAGGCAAGGTGAGTAGGAAGGGGCAGCCAGGTGTTAACTGCAAAGTCCTGAGGACAATTTGAAGGTAGATGGATCATTTGCCGGTACACAGTATGTGGGTTAGTGTGACTGGAACCTGGGCTGTGCTGGGAAGAGGTGATGGGGATTGGGCAGGATTGGGTAGATGATGGGGCAACTCAATTTCCAAGTTCATCTTGGCCCCTCCTGGAGGGTCTCTACTCTAGTAAGACAGAGTAAGGTAATATTTATGACTAATGTATGGATATTTGCTTAAACTGTAGCAAGTAAAACCTGTCCCCTTCTCTTTGTCTCAAAAGCACTTATCCCACCCACAGCAGACCACCCTGTTGGATTTAATGGATGCCCTCCCCAATTCAGGCCCTGCTGCCCAGAAAGCAGAGCCCTGGGGCTCGTCAGCCTCAGCTAACCAGACCAATCCTTGGGGCGGGCCGGCTGCCCCAACCAGTGCTTCGGACTCCTGGCCATCATTTGGTAAAGACCTCTCTTGTTTGTCTTTTATATTTGCCTGCTGACTGGGTGAGGGGCAATAGGACAGAACTTCTTGCCCTCTCACCTGGCAGAGGTGGGAGTAAGTCCAATGGCATAGCTCTGTCTTTCATTCAGTTTAAAATGGGTCTGCTTTGATAGATGGAAAACTGCCTTCCACTCTGTTTCCCACATATATAAAAAAATGACTTGTCCCTTCTCTGGGACACATGTCGACTCATTGTCACATTACACCTAGTACCCCAGATTAAGAAACTATAATACATAGCACGGAACATTTAAATCAAGTTTTATAATTAGCTGGAAATGATCATATGCTGAACAGCGCTGCTAATGAGAAGGGGGCTACTTTTGCTATAATTCTTGTTATTTAAGGCAATAACAAATCAGCTTAATAGATAAATGACTATTTTATTTATTTTTTAATTAAAAAATTTTTTTATTATAAATTTTATTTTTATATTCCCCATACAATTGCAACCCCCTTATTTTGACCCCAATCCCTCCCCTCCCCGCCCCCCACCCCCATAGAGTGTCTCTGGTTCATAGTTGTTTGTTGATTTTGATTTTTGCTTTCTTATAGTTATTCTTTTTCCTGGTCCCTTATTTAAGTTTTCTAGATTCCTCCTATGAGTGAGACCATCCGGTATTTTTCTTTTTCTTTCTGGCTTATTTCACTAAGCATGATCCCTTCCAGCGCCATCCATTTTGCTGCAAATTGCATGTGTTGATCTTTTTTGAATGCTGAGTAATATTCCATGGTATATATGTACCACATCTTCTTGATCCAGTCATCTATTTTTGGGCACTTGGGTTGTTTCCAAAGCTTAGCTATTGTAAACAGTGCTTCTATAAACATAGGGGAGCAGGTGCTCTTTGGAATTGATGTTTCTGTCTTTTGGGTAAATACCTAGGAGTGGAATTGCTGGATCATATGGAAGCTCTAAGTTTAGTAGGTCAAGAAATCTCCACACAGCTCTCCATAGTGGTTGGACCAGTTTGCACTCCCACCAACAGTGCAGGAGAGTTCCTTTTTCTCCACACCCTCGCCAACATTTGTTGTTGCTAGTTTTTTTTAATATGTGCCACTAAATGACTATTTTAAAGTTCTGTTTAATGTAAAATGTGAGAGAATTTGTGATGGGAGATTAGTATGCGTCAAATGGCACAATTGGTTTCATTCAGTTGGAAATCTTGGGCATGTGGGTTTCCTAGTTGCTGGACACAGGCCTTGGTCTGCAGACTTGTGATAGCTTCCTAGCTAGCCTGACACTCTGAGAGGCCCTCTCTGGGTGCTCTGGACCCTGCTGCATGGCTGATCTGTGTGCTTTCTATAAGGAACTTTGAATTGTATATTTTGTGATATCCTCTTAGACTCTTTTTCCCCAAACTGAAAGTAGGTTTTGTGTTCAGCTAGATTCCTGGACGTTTGCTGAAGCAAATGTTAGGCTCTGTCCTGCCATGCAGAGACCTAGACATGGACAGGTATTGGTCCTGCCCTTAGGGTCTTGGGCAGGTGTGGGCAAGACAGGAACACCGAGTAATAGTACTGTTTTTTCTAGGCTTCTATAGAGGTTCTTTGACAGCATCCTGGGACAAAGCTTGGTTCAGGAATCCTGTAGGTGGGAGACAGACATCTTGGAGGAATCTATAAGGAAGAACATGAGATGACTAGGCCACAAAAAGGCAAGGGAGTTTCCAGCAGAAGCTTCAGTGGCATAGCAGGTATAGGTACAGGAACCTACATCAGGGAGCAGAGTCAATGAGAGAAGAGTGTGGGGGGAGTCCTGGTCACTCAGGGCCTAGCAGCCTTGCCTAGTGCTTGGACATGCCCAGAGGGCAGTATCGGCCCCAGAAGTCCTTGGGCAATGCTTTTGCCTTCGTATGTGGAGACTCATGATCCCTTTGGCAAGAATCCTGTGGGCTTTTGGGCAAACCCCAAACCAGATGGTTCACAGCTTTCAACCACCGAAGGCCAGCACTAGGGCTGCCAGGGAAGCTGGTTCACATGGTCCCTGGCATGTGTGTCATTGGGCATTTCTTGTGCCCCGGGGAGCCTGTGGTGTAATGTCTTGATGACCATGTGTGGGGACAGCCAAGACAGGTCTGCTGGAAATGCCCACGTGGGGCTCTTCCAGAAAGTGCCTTTGACTTTATACTTGATTCTGAAAAGCTGTTCTTTTATGAAGTGATGGCTACTTGTTACAGATAGGATGTTCTTTGGGAAAGATTGTCAGTCCCTTTTAGAATGATATAATGGTTCATTAATGAGAGAGTTTCTCAGTACCTGGAAAAGGATGTGGTCTCACTGGGTGCAGGTGAGTTTAGTAAATTTGAATTATGCAGTCAGTGGATTATTCTAGGGAGGCACTTGGAGTCTGGGGGTGGTGGAGAGAGAAAAACTTTTTTTTAAAGCTCTGTGACTTATTTACCAGGGGTGAACATAGTCAGGAGAGATAAAATATACATATTTCAAGTGGACTGGTTTGCCCGCCCTTCCTTTGGCTCTGTCCTGGACCTGCTCTGTCCTGGAGCCAGATGTCTTGGGTGAGCTAGGAGGGACCCAGCCTCACAGGAACTGGGAATCTCCTGGCAGGTGGGGCAGGACCATCTCAGGCAGTTGGGGTTCTCACGTACCTGCAGGGAGCATCACCCAGGACTGTCCAGAGGTGGGGGCACTGCTGGCAAGAGGCAGCTGAGCAGTGCATGAGAGTGCCACACACAAAGATCTGCTCTTCAGTTGTTTTTTTTTAATCAAGATAAAAATCACCATCTTCACCATTTTAAAGTTGACATTTTGATGGTTCTTATCCACTCACAATGCTGTGCAACCATTACTAATAATTTCAGGGTGTTTCCATCACCCCAGAAAGCAGCCCTTTGTGCAGTTACTCCCTTACTCCCTGCTGCTTTTCTCTCCTCGCTCTACAATCTCTTCTGGACATTCCACACAAATGGAATCGGGTGGTCTTAATGTCTGGTTTCTTTCACTCAGCATCTTGTTTTCAGTTCATCCATGTGATAGCATCTTTCCATACGTCCTTTATGTGACTAATATTTCACTTTATGGCTATATCACATTTTGTTTAACCATTAAACAGTTGATAAACACTTGGAGTGGTTTCTGCTTTTTGGCTATTTTGAATCCAGTTTAAACTTGAATTTTAAAAATCTTAATTTTTATATGTTGATTTTGTATCCTGCTACTTTACTAAACTGGTTATTGTTTAAATTAGTTTTTCTGTAGAGTTTTTAGGGTTCTCTATGTATATTATCCATATCATCTGTAAAGAATGATAGTTTTACTACTTCTTTCCCTATTTGGATTCCTTGTATGTCTTTCTCTTGCCATGTTGCTTTGGCTAGGGCTTCTGTATTATATTGAAAAGCAGTAGAGAGAGTGGACACCCATGCTATTAATTTTTAAATTAAGAACATGGTTGAGGTTAATCAAATTATTTCTGCCAGTGGCCACATGTGGTTCGAGGACTGTCAGTTTGCTTTCTCTTGCTATTTGCCCAACCCAGGCCTTTCTCCTAGGTTCTGATGCATTTAACATTTTCACCAGTGAATCAGGGAGAAAACAGGCCACAAGTCCCAGAGAAGTTTGTTCCTCTGGAAACACACAAGAAGTTAGGGCAGGCTCAGTGCTTAATGTACCTTGTCCTGGAATTACCAAAGCATCCTATACTGTTAAAAATCCCTTCTGTGGCTGTATAGGTCTTGGAAAAGTCACCTGAAATTCTGGCATGAAGAGATAACCAGTGTTAAAATGTTAGCTTATCTGCTGCTTCCTGTTTTATTTTTACCCCCTGAGCATTTTATGTTTTTACAGAGACCAGGTCTTACTGTATATACAAGTTCATAAATGTATGTAGAGGTTTACACTTGCACTATATAATGTGTATTTCTAGGTATCATTAAAAACCCTAAACAACTTGACTACAATGAAGGTACAAGGTTCTGTCACCTCCCCTTGACCTGCTTGTACACACGGAGGTGATACTCTGCTTTCACCCGCTCTGCAGGAGAGGCATGACACCAGCTCCTGAATTCACTGGCACATGATAACAGTCCCTTTGCTTACATTTTCCAGGCACAGCTCCAGAGTAAGACATGGTATCCAATTTACCAGTTAGCCTCTAATAAATTCCTCTGGTGCATGTTTTCAGGGCCACCCCTGAATCCAAAAAAAGTTCATAAATTATAGAGATTGGGGTGTCACTTCCCAAGCACTGTCAGTTGCACCCTCTAGATGAAAGAAATGCTTTGGCAAGCCACTTCTGTAGTGAGCCCTGCCATTACCAGTTCTTTCCAAGCAGTACTGGGGGCATCTTGGCCAAGTGGCCTTGGGAGAAAAGGCTGAGGACTGAGGGGAGGGAAATTGGATCCTGCCAGGTCAGCGGGGCACTTCCTTCTCTGTTCCAGACACACAAAGCAGCCACCTGGTATGAGGAGGGCACACAGCCTGGTGATTCAGAAGGCCTTGGCCCACTCGGCACTCTCTCTGCCCACCCTCCTGCTGCCTGGCCCAGGATAGAGGCCATCTTCCGCCCAATAGCAGCAGGTGGTGCTGCTGGCTTATTGGTGACACCTCCCTCCCCCACCCCAACAGCTCAGTTCTGTGACCCTGAGATTGACTGCCTCCCTGTGCCATGAATATTCATACATGAGGCTTGGTGAGGCTTGAGTGGACCCACTCTGAATGGACCCACAGAGGAGGAGGCGGAAGCTGCTTGATCTTTCTGCCCTTGGTTCCATCCTCCTTTCCTCTCATTCATTTGAGCTTTCAACAAGCATTTATTTATCGGGCATGTGGCATGACCTGGACCCTGTGGAGGACATGGAGGGTAGTACACAGAGGAGCCTTGCAGCGAATCCACTGTCCATTCATGGAGAAGGGGGACGGGTGCTGGGCTCTGCAGCTACACTGTCAGCAGGCAGTCACTGGGGGCTGCTGTGCCTGGCTCTCGCCACTTTCCCAC